CGGTATATATTATTTTATTATTATTAGAAAAAACCATGTATCAGTTGATCTCCAAAATTAATACTGGCCTAAACAGATCTAATCTAGAATCTGTCAAGCCCAAAAGACCTAAGAATCATGATTTCCCTTGTTCTTATGCCAAGGAGGTTCTAGTGCACAAAAGCAAGTGCCCCAGAGCTGATAACATTTGTATTTAGTAAATCAATTATCCAATTATCATTCGAATTTAATTTTGACTAAATCCTTCAAAGTTGTGACTGACCCTTCAACTAAATGTTACCTACATGTTTCTTAAACTCTGTTAACTTGCTTTTGACAGACATCTCGTCTGAAACATTATTCAAAGAGTCTCCCAATTCGTAAATCATCTTTACCAATGGCATTTCTCCATGAGATACAGATAACTCTTTAGTAACTTCTCCTGATATGCCCAAGTTACTATTTTTACTGGATAGCATTTCTTTGAGTTTGCTATTTTCATCTTGAAGTGAAGCCTTAGCTTGTTTTGCCTTTTGAGCTAGAGTCAGCAGGTGGGCACACTTTCTTATCAGCTCATTTTTCGATAAATCTTCAAGATTATGTTTTTTATTGATGTCACTATTGGCAAATTGTTCCATATTGAAATTATAAATTACTTTGTGTGTGTTGAATCCAGCTTCAACATAGCTTTACTATGAATAAAATAAGCCTTTCAATTAGGTAGTTGCATTAGAAATAAAATTTTTCCACATCAACATTTGATTTGCACAATATGTCAATATCAACAGCTGTCGACTGTCACTATCAATAAATCGTCTCGAATCATGACGAACTTGCTCGATGGATCCTCCATCTTTCGATACATAACGAGCATAGTTGAAACCATAACTAAGGCCATTTGTCCACGGTACGGTAAATTTACCGGTCGGTAGAACATATCGTTCATTCGCAGGAAAACCGTCACAACTAAAAATCCTTTAATTTTCAGCAGGGGCAGTTGAAATAATGATATAAAAGGTTAAGTGTATTTACTATTTATTATGTTTAACTTATTCAATCCAAAACATTCATTGCACTTTGTCAGTGTCCTAGAGGAATTCTTTCTTAATATCGAGGTCATAGATGTTTTTTTTCACAAGAAAAAATTACTAAGTGTCACTTTTCTGCCAGATTATTTGAATCAATTTTTGAGATGAAACACACATTGAGACTAAAAAAACTTTTATTACAAGTTCCAGGCTACCTTATAAAACTACAAACAATACTTATTGAGAACTCATTCATCAAACATAAAAGACAAATGGGTGAAACATGCCTAGACATAAAAAAAGTTGAAACAAATAAATTCCGTCAAATTGGTAAATCCTAAACATTAATGTATTAAGCAATACAATCTTTACTAACGTCTTAGCTGTCCCGAAACGCCTCTCAAAATGTAAAAGTATTTTTAATACTATTCTTGGAGATTGCGGGAGTGCAGGTGCAGCCGAAATATGTATAAAATTTGTATTCCTTCATACAAGTTTAAGCTTGATACAAGTTTAGAGTTAACTTATAAATTTTTATAATAATCTAAGTAAACTCGTGGTACGGTTGACTTATTAGGATTTTTAAATAAGGATAGTAACGAGTTTTTCTTTTTTTCACTTATCCCTGGTTTGCGTTGATATGCTTTTTTAAGCACGACCGATTGGTTATTGAGGTCGTGATTCTTTCTTGAGGGGCCTCTCACAATTATTTTTTTGTATTCCTGTTCACTGTAGGAATTTTTGTAAAATACAGTATGTAGGTGATCCTTGGATATCATAATAACCTTTACTTCAGAAAGCTTCGTTATCTGCGTTATTGGTGAAATTGTTGTACTGCATTTGGAATGGTAGATTTTTCAAATCAAAGAAATCTGAATGACACATTTCTGTGACTTTGTATGGATTTCCTGTTTTTTTAGCTGTACGGATTAGACTGTAATATTGTTCAGGGGTGTAGATTGGAGCAGACTTCAAATATCTTTTAATATGCCTTTCTATCACAGAGTGAGCACTATCGCCCTCATTCTGACTGTGCCCTGTTATAAGATATTTATGTGTAATGCTTCTTATATAGTTAAAGTGTGAAATAGCGTAAAGATACGTCGACAACAAGAATCTATTTTTTTGTTGGCCCCCACAGTTATCACTGTAAAATACTACATCAATCCCCGCTTGTTGTGATTCAGCTCTAGTGTTAATATTTTCTAGGTATTTGAGCACGCATGTCCCAATTTCGTCTGCACCTCTATGAGCATGGCCTTCATGCCAAACATAGCAGTCAACATCTTTCTTCTTTAGATCAAAAACTGTGAAGTTATACACATTCAACTTTGATATATAGTAGAAACTAGAAGTATCTCCTTTGGGGCAGGGCAATGTTGCTTGCAAGTCATACACGGCTACGTGCATGTCTGAATTTTTGTCTTTTTCTCCCCTTGACAGTTCTTTTTCTTTTTGATGTTCATTATACTTCTCATATTGAGAAGCTTTCTCTTCTGCACTCATTTGTTCGAAAGCAGTACAAAAGTCGCACTGGTCTTTCTTAGGAACGAAAAAAGATAGATTGAACTCTTCATTGAATATTTTGAAATACATATTGTAGTTGGCACTTGCAACCTTTTTTTCTTTACAAAGCATTACATATTCTCTATGAAGGTCTGCTACGGATTTCCCTCCTTCTATAAATTCTTTGGTCGTATTTGAGCGCGCATAATGACTCTCTATCTTTGGTATTCTTCTTATATGACTCCTTACGCTATTTTTTATGCCTTCGTCCAATTTTGGATGTTTCCCATGCTTACCTCGTCTGTCAGGTTCTATGATTGGCCCAGTTGGTGCTAATGCCTTTTTTTGAGCCACTGTTCTAATCGGTCTGTCATTTATAGCTAGTGTAGCTTTGAAAAAATATTTACATACGCGAGTCCTTTGATTGTTCAGGATGAAGTAAAAAGCGTTATTTTGTTGGCGATGGCTACCGTCCCGTTTATATTGATACTTAGGCTGAACTAGGGACATACTTGTGGCTAAAAAGTCTCGTTGCCTATGTAAATTGCCTAAGCCCCAATATTCGGAAAAAAGAGTTTTACGATTTTCATCTGTAAATTTCTTGCTGCATTGCAGCTTGCATTTGTCTCCACAGGGAGGCAGAATGGTCCTAGAAGGGTGCAATTTTCTGGTTTTCGAAACTGACACGTATTCTTTACCTTCGTTTCTCAGAGCTTTTGCAGCATTTTTTCGCCACTTTTCCGGGAACCTTAAACGCTTTCTTCCAGTTTTGGTTGTCTGGCTGCAATTTACTACTTTTCTAGCTACATTTGAGCAGCGGTGCGAACTCTGGCCAGTCTCTTCTGCGAAACCTCCATTGGAATCACTTGATGATTCACTGGTATTGGAACTGAAATCCAGCTCTGGAGTCATCCGAACCAAATGGGTCAGAGTCAAGCCCATTGCTTGTCCAGGCACTTCAGCAATTTGACATATTGCCAAGTTCTCTTTCTGCATTTCTAGGGCATCTGCCACCATCTTCCTTGTTCGACTACTATACTCCATAGCTAAAATTAAAAAAAATTCATAAAAATTGGTATTAGTTTCCTGAAAACATATTTTTCAGCTTTTTTGAGGCAAATTAAATTATAGTTTCAGAAACCAATAATTTTGAATAATTCCTCGAAATACATGGAATATCATGTATGTTGACCATACTCAATCAATTCCCAAACTCCAGCCTGATCAGCAAAACTCATTTAATAGATTCAACGTAATGCTTGTTCTTTATGTAATGTGATCTGGTACTTTTTGCTCAATATGGCAACGTCGCAACACAAGAGCGAACACGTCGGATTAATCTATAATCTGGAAAATATAACTCAGAAACAACGGCTATTTGTTGCCATTTTGCTTTATTATAAACACGACACCCATCTGAACAAACACATCGGTTTCATCGGGAGGTTCAGCAGTCTGGCTGTGCTTGAATCAAGCCAGATAGTGTATTTGGAACTGCTTTATGAATGAGTAGTCAACACTGTAAATACAACTTGTATGCTCTGGAATCAGCTACTTGAAGCAAGTGTCTAATACACATTAAAAATGTTACACATAAAAGTGGCAAACCGAATGTTGCAATATAGAACAAAGTATACTTTCTAGAGTCAATTTCAGTAGAAAACCGACATATCCACAAATGCTGCACAAAATAGTACGGTTTTGCCATCAATTTCAGGAGAAAACTGACACAACATTAAATGTGACGGTCTAGGAAAGAAATAAAAGAATATTTTAGGGCTTACCTTATCTTGAAGAATGACACAAATCGAAATATAACAGTTTTCGTCCAAGAACACTGCCTATCAAAACGTAGTAACACGTAATGCTACACTTTTCTTCAATAGCTCGGAAAAAAATACGTGTTTTAATCTGAAATATGACGGTTTTCCACTCGAAGCTAGTACATTCCCCTATGACGACTGGATTAATACTGAATTGTGCCGGTTTAGACCTATAAGGGGTACCAAGGATACGTCACTTCAAAAACGACATAAGTGCCACCTGTTGGTAGTTTGAGAAAGTCGAGATGTGACACTTTTCCACATAATAAAGTAGATAATTCTGAACCGTTTGGTGTAGTAATCTGGATTTTCATCTTTTTTGAGTTGTGACGGTTTTCCTGCGAATGAACGATATATAAGCATCTATTACACAGGGCGAGATTAGTAGCCGATCGCCGGCGAGTAGCGAGTGAGCGAGTAGAACACGCTCAGCGAGCGCAAATTACACAGCGCTAGTAAAATCGCTTTACTCGCATCGTATTGAACCTTTGAAAAGTGTTTAGTTTGTATCTTTTGTGCGATAATAGAATCGAAAATGGCTGTTAAATGGAACAGTAATCAAATTATACAGTTCTTAAAAGTCTATGAACAATTTCCCGTTTTATGGAATATAAAACACAAAGATTACGTTAATATCAAACTCAAAGATGTTTTATTCAAGAAAATGTGGGAGCAATTAGAGGATAAAGGGCTTTTAAAAGGAATGGACGAAAAACAACTAAAAAACAAAATAAAGAATTTAAAAGATGTGTTTCGTCAAGAACTGGCCAAGATACAACGAAGCAAAAAAAGTGGCTGTGGAACAGAGGATATTTATACTCCAAAGCTAACATGGTTTGAAGCTGCCCATTTTTTCGCTGAAGTTTTGTCAACAAGGCATAGTAATTCAAACTTGGTAAGGAGATTTTAGAACTATATATTTTTTATTCATACTTAAGCAAATTATACATAACAAATAAAGTTAAATTTTCTTTAACACTTTGAGCAGAATTAATTTGAAAAATAATAAATCACTTAAAAATATAAAAATTGTTCAAGCTAATTCCAATCCCACTTTTTTCCATTGCCACGGTAAAGGATTGTCTTCCATAAAATACTTAGCCTATTTGCGTCTTACTTCCTCTGCAGAATTTTTGTAGTTGTTGCTTCCCAAATGACTAACCGTTGGCAGATTATTCACGTGGTTTCTCCATTGCCCAAAAGTAATATTGCCCGTGTTAAGATCCTCTCTATCCACGGCATTTTCAGGAAAATAAGTATTTGGGCTACTTTTTTTCAGCCAGTTGTGGAGACTACATGCTGCCAAAATAACATTGTCAATTGTAGTTTCTTTTAATTGAATTGGTCTTGAAAATATTCTGAAGCGCCACACAAGAATACCAAATGCATTTTCCGATACTCTTCTTGCGCGAGAGAGTCGGTAGTTGAATATCCTTTCAGTATTATTAAGCTGTGACTTACTGTAGGGTTTCATTAAGTTGGTTCTCAATGGAAAGGCATCGTCCCCAACAATGACCGAATTTTCAGGCATGTTAAGTGTGTTATTTTGCATTGCTATGTTCAAAGTACTGTCTCTAAATATTGCACTGTCACTAGCTCGGCCGTTTGCTCCAATATTAATGTAAGTAAATCAATAATCTGCGTCCACCATTGCGAATAACACGATACTATATGTTTTTTTGTAATTAAAGTACATTGACCCAGACTTGGGAGGTTTTTTAATCAGAACATGCTTGCCATCAATTGCTCCATAACATCTTGGGAAATTCCAACGAAGGAAAAAATTGTATTGAATTTGTTTCCATTCATTGCTTGTTGAAGGCATCTGCAAGAAAAAAATATGATTTAAAAAATTTGTTCAATTCTTAAATCAAGCAAAAAGTTAAAAAATCTTTACAAATTTGTTCTAATTTTTTTCAGACTCTACCCAGCACACAAAATATATCTGAGGAAATCTCAAATTCTCAAATTGAACAGCGTGACGATGAAGAACCCGATACACAGCCCAAGGAACAAAATATAAAACCCTCAGAAGGGATGGGACCCCCTAAATCGAAAAAAAGGGCGAGAAAACAGGCAGATCCAGAAATTGGCGATGCAATCAGTCAGTTGAATAAAATAGCTGAAAATGTATCAGAAGGAAAACCGTACGACGAATTTGGAAAGTATGTAGCTGCAGAGCTGCGTCAAAGAAATTCAGAATTCTATTACACGTGTGAAGCTGTGTGTTTGGGAAATTATAATCAACTAAATAATTACTACAGAGAGCCCCTTCATGTGCAAACTTTTTCACCGTTATCCTCCCCCAGTGATCCCAGCCCTGCCTCATCAGCAACATATGAAGCAAATGTGCAAAATGACAAAGATAGCGTTTATGGTAACGATGTTATTCATCAAGCACTATTAAATACATTTTCGGGGGCAGAGTTTGAAATAGTAGAAGAAGTTTCTCAATGAAATAGATTCTATTTTTCATATAATTATAAAAATATTTTGTTTTATAAGTATAAGTACTGTGTTGAAAATAAATTGATACTTAAATTAAACCTACCTTTATATATGGCTTTAGGACCTGACAAATTGCTGCAAGTACTTCGGGTACAAACAATGAAATTGTACATTCAGGCACTCGAAATAAATATTCTAGTGATTTGAACGAATCACCAGTTGCCAAAAAGCGTAGGGTTATTTCTAGTTTTGTAGCAGTTGGAATCGCCATCCTCATTTTTGTGTCTTTTTTGCGGATTGTTTCGTCAACCATTTGTAATAGTACATTAAACTGTTCATTGCTCATTCTCAAAACATTCCTATATGCCACAGGATCTTCATCCTTTAATTGTCTTAATAAAATATTAGAAGCCCCATGTGTGTCCCGTTCTGAAATCCAATTCCTGACCCACATCCGTCTCGCTTTCCTTTTTTTCTGGTTTAACCGTTCTTGAAGTTTTTTCCGAATTAAAAGGCTGACAAAAACAATTCCTACACGCACTATATCGGCCATTTTATCCAACTAGTCGGGCTTTAGCTTATTACACATAGCGTTTTCACTCGTCAGAGAGAAAAATTGCGAGCGAGTAGCGAGAAAAGTAGGCCGGTGTTCAACTTTACTCGCTGGGAAAAAGCGAGCCGCGAGTTTACTAGCAGGTGCGATTACATTTGACGACTTTTATAGCAGCGAGTAAATTCGCTGACGAGTAACTACTAATCTCGCCCTGTGTAATAGATGCTATATGCGTGGCTTTGTTCACAGAGATGTCAGTGGGTGAATATGGTTTGTTTACAAGTCTACACGCTGATACATGTCTGACTGCATCACCTGCGTCGTCCGGCTGCCGTCTCTACGGTGGGAATGGTAGTGGTAACGGTACCGTATCCGGCGAAATAAACGGCTAGTGGACAAGCGGCCCAACGGCATCTTCAAATAACGAGTTGTAAAGTAACGCCACTTTAAAGTGACCTGTGTGGACAGGTTTAGTGAGTGTATAACTCAGGGGGGTGAAACTAATATTGGCGACTGGGAAACAAAGTAGTGTTGCTGGTGCATAATATGACAACCATGTCGCTGTTGCATGGCTACCGGTTCACGCGAACCCACCACTCCACCAGCTCGCAATTCGCAGTTTCCTACGGAACACGTGTCTTGAAAAGTGACATTATGCCGTTTTTTTTGACATTATACTGTTTTTTTTGACATTATGTTGGTTATTCTATAATATGTTAACTTAGCACTTAGTTGTACGTGTTGCCTAAACGTCATGCGGCTTGTTATCAATCTTTGGCTTTGATGTGATGTAAAATCTGCTTCTGAGATGGCATTACTGGAGGTCTAAGCTGTAAGTTGTATGTTTTGATGATAATTACATTGGGTTCTTTTCTCAAATACACTTAATTGAGATTCAACGCTAGAAATTAGTTACGCATCCACTTTTTCTTATCCATTCTGGAAATTACATATACAAATTTGCTGAATTTCAAAAATGAGAGAGATAAGAAATAATTATATTCACTGTACACTGTCTGTCATTACAAGGCAAATACATGCTAACAGTAATTACACACAACGCGGGCGCGGTAATGATTTCCCGTAATTCTCCTGTTTTTCGTAATTTATAACTTTGAATATAACCTCGCTCCAGAAAGCACAACATATAAATAACCCGTCATATTCAGTAATGATTTTCTCACATAGCAAATATCACTGATATACACATACATACCAATACACATAATCATCCAGATGCGATCTTGCTATTCAACCAACTTTCTTCTCAGAGATAAAAACTACAGACCCGGATCACTCAGCCTCACAAAGCTATGCAACCAATAATGCGTAGTTTAGTTGAGTGATTCCTCAACAAATAGACGTTCACAACGATCCTAGTGAGCAAACGTGGAACGACTGTTTGCGCCCTAAAAACTACCTAGTCGCAAGTTGACATCTCATAGGTTTTTTTTTGACGTTTCATATGTTTTTTACATGATACCCGTGCCGAATCCGTCAGCGAATTTCTCCATGAGGCTGTTGCTTTTTATTAATCATTAATCAAATTCAAGCGGATAACCAAATGGAAATGGTATTTACCATTTTGGGTTGGTATTTACCAATCCGTTCAAGCGAGTGTAGTTATCAGTTTGGTTATAAGATCCGTGACGTCACGAATCAGCTGTTATATGTCATAGTTATCACCGAAAAATTGTGGTATTTACCCAACTCAAGAGTAGTTTTATATTTCTGGTTATTATTTGAAATGTGACAAGTTAGAATTTTGCCGGGTATTGGATATTGTTATTGTACTTTAGCTTCATTTTTGAGAAGAAGGATACAGGCTGACTTCAGTTTTACCATAAAGTGGAGCACCTTATTAGTTATACTCATTACGGTTGTTGGGGGCACTTTAAATGTAGTTCCTATGCTTAACAAAGTATCCTGTGTAGCCATATACCACAATATTAAAATATGGCCATATAAACTCACTAGATGATATCCACCTGTATACGGTTTTGCTAATTTCTTTTTTCATCATTTCTGCTGAATCAATAAATGTTTTCTTTGACATGCGGAAAAATTTAGAGAATTGAAAGTTATCATAGCCACAAAGCCATGGTTCCATCATTAAAAAAAAAATCTGAAAAAAACATTTCTCCCATGAATATTATGAAAGGTTTGTTATTTGAACTTTCCATATACAGTTGTAGACGAAAAAGCACCGATTATTAAGTGATAATAAAAATAATCAGAGATTATATACGCGCTTTTCTAAAATAAACAACTTGCAACAAAACGACGCGACGGTTAAAACCAACGCGTTCAAGCGATTCGTGTAACTGACGTCATCAACCCGTGTGTCATCTTGAACCATATTATAACCGCGGCACATAACAGAGAAATTTTGGTTATTCGCTTGAATTTGATTATTCTGGTTTCTGGGTGATCCGGCCAACAGAATAACAAACTCTGACGTACTTTGACACAAAGCCAAAGATCCTACGGACCGCCTTGACAGACAATGACGAATAGAGGAGGCTGTTGCTAATAATGGACCTGCTGTGATTTGAAATCCATAACGCGGTGGATGTAATTGTTTGGACAAACGTCCGGATTGTTGTTTAAATGTTGACTACTATTTTCATCACTTCATACTGAAATGTGACGATATCTTCATTATTTGTAGTAGTTTGTTTTTGTATGAAAATGGACTTTTCTAAATAAAAGAGATTTTAGCAAGTACAAAATAAAATATAAATTATATACCAGTAATTATATATTTTTTATATTATATAATTATTATAAAATAAAAATTGTAGCGTACAAAAACAAAACAAAATATAGCTGTGTCTACCTAGCCACACGTGGCATTGACGGATCCGTCAGAACTATGTGTCCTTTGCCGATATGAAAAATTTTGAAATATCACTAGATAACCAGCTGTCATTCAATCGCAATAGATACTCGTAAAATAGGTTGTAGAATACGTTAATCAATGGGTATGGTTATGTCGCTAAGGCCCGTATCGTCAGTCAAAAAGTGACACAACTCAAAAAGTGTGAATTTTGAGTTGTTACTATCAATCACATGTGAAAATAATGGTTTACCTTCTAGCAAAAGAGTAATAAATTATCTTTGTCCATTGACCGCCAGCATATGTGTCGTTTTTGCAGATTCCGTTTGTATTAGTATCTACGGCTAAACAGAGATATTTTCAGTTGTACCCTGTCTTCAATACATTAAAGGACAGAGATAAACCCTTCTAGAGATGGGAAACTCCAATACTAAAATAAGTTACTGTATTTCTGCGACCTCTGGTGGATTGGCCGCACACCAGTGCTGAATAATGGGCCTTTCCATCTTAATAGGACAAACCTAATGGGGCTTTTTACATTCTGTTAATAATAAATCGTCTTACGTAACAAAAACACCCCAAATGGGTTAATTTCCACTTTCTTAGTCATTAATACATGACGCGCATTTCGACACACAGTGTCTTTCTCCAATGCTGGGATGAGTCGCGCGTCACGTATTAATGACTAATATAGCAGAAATTAAACCATTCGGAGTGTTTTTATTACGTAAAATGGCTTGTGGAAAATCTTTCCAGGGGATGCGAAGGGAGGAATTAAAATTCAAGAAATAATTATATTCATTTTATGGTCAATCATTCATATAAAAATTATATCACCTTTTCTCACAAAGCTAAATATAATAATAATAATGTCTTTAGAAATCCATCCACACTGCGAGGCGAAGTTTATCCAGCTGGCTACTCTACCACTTAACCTCACAGCGCAGAAACACATACAAAAAAAAGATATAACAATGAATAGCAATCGACTAACTAATATATACAATAATTAAGGCTTAAATAGAGTAATCTTAAGATGTTATACATCAATACTACATGGCCCGCTCTAACAAAAAAAAAAGAAATATATCAGCTAGCTTGGCTAGTAGACCCCAGAAGATGGTTCTTAATGGCTCTCTTGAATGCAAGTATTCCCTTCTTTTTGCAATTGTTATTAAGACTATTATACACCTTGACAGCGTTGTAGGGGAAGCTACGATAGAAAATGTTGCTCCTATAGCTAGGTATATTGAAGTCAGAGTTATGTCTGAGATTCCTGTAATTGAGATCCCCAGGTGGTAGTAGCCTTTTTAGTAGATAAGCAGGTAGCCTATTGATTTTGATTCGTTGTACTAAAATTAGTAAATTATATGTGAAAAGCTGGTCAACCCTCAACCATCTAAGCTCATTGATCTTCTTAGACACATGGCTAAACTTTCGCAGACCACAAACGAACCTACATCAGCGATTTTGAAGTTTTTGTACTCGATATCTAGTTACGTAATCAAGACAAGGAAAGTAAACAGCAATGAATAATTTATTAACGATAGTACCAGAGTCTCAGCCAGTTTTTTGCGAGTCTTGAAATTCAGAATATGACGATTGTTGTATATCTTCAAACGCATGTATGTTAAGCGAGATAAATGCGTAACATGCTGCTTAAACCTCAAATCTGAATCCATGATGATCCCTAAATTCTTCGCATGGTCTACTATAGGAGTATGGGTGTCGTTAAGACTAGGAACAATTCGGCCATCTAACCGTTGTAGTAACAGTTTTGGGCCAAATAGCATGGTAAAACATTTTGAAGCATTGATCTTCAAACAATGTCTTTTGCAGTACTCTTCAATGTTAACTAGATCTAAGTTCAATTTATATGATGCTGAGGAGTATAAGGATATGTGCAATTACTCAAATATTTGACATGCAATAGTGGAGATCTTACATTCGAGATGAAGAGTGCACTAAACACTCGACTCCTGACAGATTTCACAATTTTCTTTTCACTATAAACTGCAGGAAAACCTACGATTTAAGGAGCGATGTTACTACGTATCGAACCTCCCATCAAATATCTATATCCTACATCTAAATGTGACAATATAAAAATTATATTGCACTTAAATATACTGGTTGTCCATTATAATCTACTTTCTGTACCTCCTATTCTTAAGGTAGATTTCTTTGGCCTGTTTAATGACCGGATCATTATTCAGTGGCCATAGATCTCTACCACTCAGCGCTCTATTTATGCCTACTGTCCAGTTATGGCCCAGAAAACATGTGAACTTTTCTATCAATTTGGAATTTAATGACTCTTTATGGTTAGGGCAGCTGAGTGGTAAACTGATCTTTGATTTTATGAAATTTACCAACAGTTCAACTGAATTTGCCTTATATGCTAACTGTGGCACCATATGCATAGTAATATTGTATAATTCAGCAAATTTTTGTATTATTCTCAAATGACAATATTTTAATTTTGCAGGCATGGTATTCTTTTTCAGCTATAAGGGCCGGTTTCATAATCGCTCACTAAATGGTCTGTTAGATAATTGGGCTGTTAAGTTAATTCTCCAATTAACGCCTCCTTAATTCTGGGGCATTTCATAATGTCTTACAAAACGTCAATTAAGTAACAAAGGATTAACTGTGGTTGGTACCCCTGAAATAAATTTTACCTGGACAAATCGGGCTTGTCAATCATGAAACACAGAAAAACTTTTCGCTTTATGCCTGACCTCAGGGTGCTGCCACCTAACCTAACCTGCAATATTGTCAGATATTTTCACCGATTGTGTATTTGCGGTTTACTAGCGTTATTTATTGTTTTACGAATATATCTACCAACATGGATTTAAACAAAGGCAAACGAGCACGCGGAAGCAATTTCACCAAGGAGGAGGAACTGCTGCTGGTTCGTAGTGTCTCGAAACTTCAAGACATTATAGAATCAAAAGTTACGGATAAAGTAAATAATCAAGAGAAGGTAAATAATATTCACATGATCATTGGTATATTTATCTCATTTAATTGTATTGTTTTAGAATGAGGCTTGGCAAAAGGTTAGAGAGTATTTTTGTGCCAGTAACAATACACTCCGATCTGTTGAGCAACTAAAAACAAAATATGAGAACCTCAAAGCGAAAGCGAGGAAAGTGGTAGCGCAACAAAGGAGTTTCATTACTGGCACAGGTGGTGGACCAGGGAAGGTAGAACCTCTAGACCCAGTCCTAGAGGCAATTCTAGAGATAATTAATAAAAAGACTGTTGTTGGGCTGCATTCTCCATGGGACAGTGATAGTCAAATAACTGTAAGTATTTATAGCATTATGGTTTATAAGGTGAATGCTAGATGCTTGATTAATTACCGTGATTCACAGATATTTATCATATAACTTGATATTCATTGGATGTTAAGACTAGCATATTAGTTGATATCAATATTTATGATAGGCTTTCTAGATCTCCTAATCCAGCAATGAATAATATCTGTACTATGTCAGTACATATTGCGACAGCATACCTGTATGATATTGTACATTTCTGGCTCATTGCTCAACATATCAACCACATCCATTATTTTTAATTGTTTTCCGATATAATTCTGTGTTGTGATTCCTTTCACTCTTAAATATTTTATTTCTGATGCTCGCATTATCCACTTTTCACATCCATACATACAGCAATTAATTATTGTATTGGTTGAATCTAATAATTGGTATTAGAATTCATTCTTGTACAATTTTACTGTAGTTATATTTCATTATGTAATATTTGCATTAATAAGATTTGAAACATTTCAAAAATATTTTACTACAATATATGAGAATGCATCCATCTAATATTTGATTTCTAATTTCAGCAAGACTTAACTTTCCAAGGAGAAGGTAGCCAACTATTGCTTTTTGATAAAGAAATACCATCTTTGATTGGTAAGAGTGTAAAGTCAGCCTCTAATTACCTAAACATTATTTTGCTCTTAATTATTGTGCACTGCAGTAGTTGTATTATAAGTAAATATCACTTGTGAGAGTTTTTAGTTTTTCAAATTATTTCATGCATTGTAAGACTAGAATTAAATTAAATCTTAGAATAACACAGACCACTTGTATATTGTATATTTTGCTTATGATCAAGCCCTGCTTTTTACATAGTCTTATTTCATACTTTTTTAGAGCTGGGGAAATTACACACCAAGGAAGTTGAAGACGCCCATGTCAAAAAGACTTAGACAGACGAATTCTACTAACAAAAACATATTTTATGAAAAAGAAATTATATTCGCAGAAGAAGAAATTAAAAAAAGCAGACTAGAACAAGAAGACATTCTGATCAAGAGAAAGGGGGATGCAGAGAAACACGAGTGGGAAGGGGAACTACATAGAAAAAAACTTGAACTTTTAGAATTAGCAATAGAAATAAAACGAAGAATGCTTAACAATTAGTTGTATTGAATATAGATTTGTTATAAATTGGCAAAGTATTCATTTATTAACAACTGTCTAACAACCTGGCCTGAGCGATTGTCATATCTAACATCACCCTGTTCATTTATTTCCTCATCTTCAGAATGATCGATCCACTCTTCAGGTATTGCTTCATTCTCTTCTATAGCAATATTATGTAGGACCGCTGTGGCGACAATTATTGCCATGATTGTATGTAGATCAAGTCTCATACCTAATTTTAAGATAGGAAATCGTCTTTTCCAAACGCCATATTGCCTCTCTACCACATTCCGTGTCCTAATTATTGATTCATTAAATAAATTTTCTGCCTCCACATTAATATCTTGAAGTTTTGTCATCAGATATGGACGTAAATGATAACCAGAATCTCCTATCAATAAATAGTCTTTAAATAGACCAGCCTCAAAACGTTGCTTCAGGGAACTGTTATTGAAAATGGTTTCATCATGTGAAGAACCAGGCCACCGTGCTACAATATCCCTTATTTTCAATGTTGCATCTGAAACTGTTTGCACATTCATTCCAAAAAACTGTTTTCTGGTTCTATATATTTCAGCATCAGTTCCACCTGGAGAATCCATCTTAATTAAAGTGCAGTCTATTACCCCTATAACTCTTGGAAATCTGGCTAATCTATAAAATTCTGCTGCAGTGCTTTCCATCTCCTGCCTCGTATTTGGCATTTTAATGTGATTAGATTGCTTTCTGATACCTTGCGAACAATCCGACTTGTAGATGCTATTGATACACCTGCAAAATCTGCCACCGCTCTCGGCATATTGCCAGTTGCATAAAATCTCAGTCAGTAGTAGCTTAGTTTTAGCTTTGATGCTTCCTCCCCTACAAAAAAATTGCATTTTTGAGATTTTTTTTAAAAATCAACACCTTTCATACATGGCAAGTGGCATATTTCAAAACAACATGAAATTATTTATGATAATCCAAATACTTTTTTTTTTTTATTTTTGGGTCTGAGATATCCCACTAAAGCTAAAAATTAAGCAAAAATAGATACTACTACCAAAATCTATTCAATGATTTTTTTTTTAATTTCTCTTTAATTTTGAACCCTGTTCCAGTGAAATGTGTCATGCAATGGCCGAAATATTAAGCTTAAATACAGTACCTGTTTGTCTCTGGTTCTATACTATACTTTATTTGCTCCAGCAAAACTAAGCAAGTCCTCTTTGTCAAGCGAAATCTTTGGAAAAATTCTACCTCATCAAACTTCGTGAAATAATCTTCTCTTTTCCTATACACTTTCGTTTTACGAATAGTAGGTATGTCCTCATCAGATGAAGAGCTGCTGCTGCTACTTTGCCATAGATTCATCTAGGATATGAACACGTACATGAAAATAAATATTTCCAAGGATTTTTTTGTACTGTAAATACTTACCATATTGTTCAAAGTAATGTCGGTTTGTATAAAAATATCGCTTCAATCTGCAGTTCAACAAATAGCGTTCAAACGTCCAAATGACACAACAAAGAAAGAAAGGTTATGTTAAACATTTAATTCGCCAATTAACCGCTTAACAGGCCGAAATCGAGCAGTTAACTTAACGGCCAATTAGAAAAATTTAACTGGCTGATTAGAGATTATGAAATCCATTCAATCGTTAAAATCTCGATTAAATTTAACTGGAGAATTAATTTTGATTATGAAACCGGCCCTAAGAGCATGCCACTCATCCACAGGATTTTCTGAAAATATATCTCTCATACAAACTTCACATGAAGAAATATCTTTTTTTCATATTTGGTGATGAAACCACTTACATATCCTAAACTAACTTTACTTTATGTACTGCAGTGCAAAGTTTGGTGTTTCTGATGGAAATGAACAAAAATCTGTGCTTGAAGGCACTACCACATCTACAGTGATGAACTTTTTCACTGCCACTATGTAATTTTTGGAATTTTCACTTTCACAATTAGCTGACATAGAGTGGCGGCTAGAAAAGTTGTTTATCAGTAATGTTTTGAAATGATTTTTAAAATGACTACAAGTCGGATTCGTGTCTCGTAAACCCTGCTGTCTGATCTGGCCAAAGAAATTTTCAATTGGGTCTTGGTTCAGTCGCCTACACTTCAAGTGATTCACGTTGCCTTGTTCCAACATCTCAAATATGTCTATAATGCCATTTATGGTGACTGTCCAGTTGACCAATGATGGTGGCCTTAATTGTTCTTCGGTACCCTCTGCTGCAGTTTGATTATTATTACTAAATCTGAGAGTCAGTTCACGAAGATTGTCAAAATACTCAACGAATTTTGAATCCAACGAATTTTGAAGCCAATGAATTCGCCAAAGCAAACTGTGGTGCAAATTCCACTAATTAGGTAATGAAGCTTTGCAATACGGTTTTAATTAGCTTATCATACTACAAATATTTCATCAATAATTTGAATACCCAATCAGTAATTTTATAAATTTGTGAGGTTCATATAGACAACGTAGGATCTTTATATAAAACCGATGTTTGTTCAGTGTTCTGATGAGGATTTCAAGAAATAATTTTGAACTTTAATCACTATTACAATAGAGCATATCAAAATGGGCTTATGTGATGGTAAATCCATTTAGTATTTCATAATCTTCGTGAAATTAGGCCTAAAAGTTACAGTCCAGAATTATTCATTATAGACTGGCTATGAAAGGTTTCAACAGTAAAATATTGAATTAATCAAGATAATGTATATGAATCTTTGAATATGTGTTTACACATCAAATGCTACAAATTATTCTGCTCATCTGTTGTTCTTATCATTAAAATTTTACAAAGCATAAAATGTAGTATAGAAACCTTGGTAATACATCTTTCTTAATGTTTGACGAGCTTCAACCCAGAATTCAAAGTGATCTGTGCATCGAGATACAGCAGACCTCAGGGGTTTCCCATTGGATGGATATAGGCTGTACCCATTGACACTATCCATGAGATCATCAAAAAACTTGAGAACTTTTGCTGTTCCTTGTGCAGTTTCGGATAATTTTTCACCTTGTATGCCCACTATTCCTAAAAAGGTAAAAATAGTCATGAATCTATATGAATGTCCATGAAAAAATGAAAATGTACCTGCACGTGCCATTAGAGTCATCACAGATGCCACAGTGTGACTGAATACTTGGGTAGCATATGAAACCTTCATCTTCTTTATACAATTTCTATTGACATGGCATTCTGTCAATTTTGGCATCGCCCTTAAGCTTCCAGCAGCATTGTCTATAGCATATGCTGTTTCTATGTTCTGCCAACTAGCCACGTACTTGTCCTCAGCTGACTCCCACACTAAATTCTCTGTCAGCAAATTATTCCTTATGCCCTTAATTAAGTGAGGAGGATCATATATGTGGATAATTTTCACTCCATTGAGAAACAAGTATTTTCTTGTAGGATCTTCTGATGCTGATGGTACTGAAGTACATTAAGTAATTTATTGCAGCTTGATTAGTTGTTCCTTGGTCACATATTGTGCAGATAACTTTTAGCCCAGCTTGCTGACACCTTGTTATTATCTTCTTCAATAACCTTACTAATATTACACTTTTTGTAGAGGATCTACAAAATGTGTATGCTAGAGGTTGCTTCCAATTTTTAACAAGCCCTCTAACCATAAAAACTAATGCATGATCTGCAATAACTGCACTTCTTTGTTCATCATCATTTGTTTCAAAGCCCTCAAATTCTTTGGTTGCAACATTTAAATGTATATGGGGGTCCAGACTCATTTCATCAAACATTACAGCACAATACTTGCTGCTTTCATCTAAGCCAGAAACAACTTCTGCAAGATTATTAAAAATCACATCATTTACACCTGGATTGATGGGAATCCGGTTTAATAGCTGCATTATTGTTTTTTTTGAGGGCAAAGCAAATATTTTTGATAATGCTGGATATCCCCTACCACTTTGTTTATGAAGTATAAGTCCCATCAATTTGTCTTCTAGGCTATATCTCCGTCCCTGTGATTTACTACCAGCCAGTGTGATCTGGCTTTTGATAAAAGTAGCTACAGTGCTGTCCAAATGATGCAATGCCTCATTTAATACTTCTCTTGTACTTCTAATCAACCTCCTTGTACATCTTAGTCTTCTATTAGCTCTAGAGAGGTGACTGGCTATCTTATATAGCTTCTTAGCTTTCGGACTTAAGTGGGTTTCTCTGGTTACATGTAACTTATGCAATAATCCAGATTCTGTTCTTGAGGAACCTTGAAATAAAGAATGAAATTGATATTATATTACATATATGTTCAGCATCCATTACAACTGTATTTTTACAAGAGATTCAATAAAATGTTCCATTTCTAATTATAAATGCAAGTGCTTGATAGTCAAAGTTGACCAAACTTCGTTTAAAGTTTATATTATGCTGATGTGATTTGAAATTAAAATTATTATTATTAGTAGGTATTGTTATGTATAGAAAACAATTTTGTTTTCAAACTTTCACAATTTTGAAGAACTTCTAGTAAGATTTGCTTTTTTTGGAAAACAATGTTTCCCTTGGTATAATAGGCTAAGAGATTCATTCAAAATTACTTTACTCACTTGCTTCTGAATAATGCTCCTCAATGGGTTCTACTGTAGTTACATCAAGATTTCCTGGTTGTGAAGTTGTAACTGATCAAACTTCTCCCAAGTGTTGATATGATGCTGAAGTTGATGGTTTTCCTGTAACCACACAATTTACTCTATCAAAAAAAAATTACATGATCAATCTTATAATGTTTCATACAGTTACTGTGCTATCATCAATAAACTGTTTTGGAGTGCATTCTGGGAATGATTGAAACAACTACCAATGAGATGTTTGCAGTTAAGATAATGTGATCTCTAATTTCCCTGTATAAATATTCACCTTATAACATTCCCAGTGTTAACTGGAGCTCAGTCTAACTTATTCCAAATATAAATAATTCCCATCAATGAGATGAAATGGAAAATATTAACTAGATACTTCCTTTATTGAAGAAAGACACCAAACCCAACAATGTTCACACATATTTTATGTGACTTGTTACATGCACTGTGTGGTCTGCCAATGCCAAACCAGGAGGGTGGAGCAGGAGACAACACAAAGGTGCATGTAGCCTCACCAGTCATGTAAAATATGCATGTATATGTTTGGATTTACTCTTCCTTCGATAAACAGACTATAGTTATGTAGTTTCAATCACTTGTACTAAACACTGTTGAAAGTCACAACTTATAACAGTTTCCAAAAAGCTGAATATATGTAATTGGAGTTGAGATATGTAAAATTGGGTGATACTAAAAATTAAACAAACCAACATACCAAGAATTTCATCAGTTGCGTTGGATATTTGTTGATCAGGAAGATTTAGTGATGGCACAGCATCCTTCCTAAGTCTGTTGTTACCATAATTGTCTTCCACTGTGAAGTGTGCATGACACACTCTATATCTATTATAAACAGTTATGGGGTCTATATCTCTCACTACTTCATTACCAATACAATCCACCCATTGCACAAAAACATACATAAATTTCGTCGGGTTTGGAAATCTATGTCGTACTGAAACACTGTCCTGACAGCCTCTAACTGCGCATTTGCGGTACCAAGACATGGTTTCTGAAAAACAACATTCAGTTACAAAAATATGTTCAAGTTAAATGGCAAGGAAATAGAAATATTGCTAGACATGACAACATAAACAAAATCAAATTTAACTTTTGCAGTTGTAATAATGCAGTAATACTGTAATGATACAATATTAAAATTGATGATTTTAGCAAACATATTTAGATAAGCAGGGCCGTTGAGAAATAAGCTCGGACTCCTATGCCCAAAAATTCTCGAGCCCCCATGCCGAAATATTCTCGGGCCCTTTTCTTGACATGAGCGAACCTAAGGACGTCTATCCATCAGTTCAGTAAGCGAGCCTCGTGCTCCCCTCAGCCCTGAGCCACGACCTCCTCTCTTGTCGACGGCCCTGAAGTTTGGACCCATCATCTTAGCCTATAAAACTAGATTATATCACTATACTTACATGCTGCAATAAACAAGCGCTGTAATCACTCAAATTTAACCACACATAAACAAAAAATAAAAGTATTTAACGGTCCAAACTCCAAACCACCAAACACAAGGAAGAAAGGAAGCAGTTACAGCTGTCAAATATCAGCTTCCAATTCCGACAAACGACAACAGCGATACCAGCGGCATCCAACGGATTGATCACCAACTAAAAACACTGTTCCAATTCATCATTCATCCCATAAGAGTGAATACCCCCTGGTAAAGGAGTTACGTGAATGCATTCAAACCGTGTTATTTTGATTTGTGTCGTTTTTGATGAATAACGGTGAGTATAGTTCTTCTAATATTTTGAATTAAGTCAGTTTAGAGGATAGAAATCTGTAGTAAAATTGGTTTTATATAAAGTTGTGTAACTTTAATTGCTTAAAGTAACACAAATGTTCAAATATAATTTGATTTAGGTCACTTTTGTTGTAATATGTTTTGATTTATGTCACTTTTGTTGTAACAAATTTAACGAAACACTAACGAATTGACTATGTAAGCCTTCCAACTTTTTGATAATTATAAATCTGTGTGAAGTAGTTTGATATGTATTTCACAGAAAATGTGTAACTTCTTATCCTTACATTAAACTTATATATTGGGTGAGGACTTCAAGGCTTATTAAATGAGGAAATCTAGAATTAACTCACAGACAGTGATTGGAATATTGAAGTTCCTTTTCTCGCTCTTCTTCATAATATCTATAGAGGTCCATCACCTTTTTACCACTATCGATGTATTTCCGAATAGTGTAAGCCCTTAGAGATAGTGCAATTCAATTCGGGGTATGACAATCAATTTTGACACGATATTTTCACCTTCGGGGTTCACCTGTGGTTGGACTTCATAATTAATTATCAGGCCAAATGAAACTACATAAATATGTTTGACTGACCTTTTTATTGACGTTTTTTCGTTTTTGACAAAAATAAGCTAGTCAAGAATTTCTTAGCAACTCAATTTTTTTGGAGACCACTTATAAAATTTTGTTTTGGCGTTTTGTAGTTTATGTCTTTGCCCCGCTTTCATTTAGAGGTTCATCATTACTTTTCGTTAAACTTTTGTCACTGCACCGGGATACTTGTTCTGGATCTACATCTTATTATATATGTCGCTCTCACTATTATGTATGATTGTTGTTTACCCCTTCCATCATGGATGATAGATCCCTATGTACTACATAATATTTATGTATTACATTTTTAAGTCATTTTCTATCCCAGGCTTTAAAGTAAATCATGCTGTCTCAAAAATGTATCAAATTGTAACACACTCGATTTAACTACCTAATAATGTTTCCAATCCTAGTATAAGACATCAAAGTTTTTGTCTCTTTAGCTTTGTTTTTTTTTTTGTTGTAGGCAACGGTATGGATATCTCAAGTTGAACAGCTTTTATTGTTAAGCAGGGTATTGCTGCAAATCAAGCAAAATATCTGCCAGAAACAACGAAATATACTCTTAAAGTACCAGCACCTAGTGAAGATCTTAGTGCTAAACTTGGTTCTCAACTGAATGACTTGCTTTTGAGTTCGATGATTGAAGCCGAAATATCTACAACTGAGAAGATTCCAACTGATTCTAGCAATCTCAGTGATCGTAGAGGATACGACTTGGTTTTATATGATAAACATTGTAATACTACCAATCACCAGCCTCAAGATCCAGTAATGCCTTTACCTCAAGAAAACTTCACGATGGACACCGTAACTCAAGTATCTCTTCAGTCAGAAAACATTTTCGAAGAGGCTACAAGCAACAGTCCTCAGCCTGGATGTGGCAACTATTACACAGTGTCTTGTAATATAGATCGTCCTACAGTTGTTCGTTTAAAAAGAAAATCGCCCATAGATCCAGATTTCATCAACAAGCATCCCGGTAGTGACAAAAGTTCAACGAAGAGTACAGAAGAAGTTATAAATGGCAGCTTAGCCGAGATAGAAGTTACAAAAGGCAAAAAAATAAAACGGAATGTTGGTAACTGGTCTTTAAAAAAACTATATTGTTAAGAAATTCTGGATAGCTATTTTTTCTGCGTATTGGGAACTTGCATTTACAAAAACAAAGAGATTTTATAGTGAGGCATACTGAATCTATAAAACCGAAATACCGTTATTCATGTGCGGGAATTTATAGACAAATGAATTCGGCATTTTATTTCAATCTCAACGGAAATCGCATTAGGGTATGCAAGATGTTTTTTAAGCCCACCCTCAACATTAACGATCGTCCTATTCGTACAGCGCTACAAAAACGAACCGATGAGGGTTTTATTATCACTGATCAAAGAGGAAAACATGGTAAACAACCACAGGTGAATCCCGAAATTGAAGATACCGTGAGAAAATTTATTAATGCCATACCCCGAATTGAATCGCATTATCTGAGGGCTCAAACTACTCGAGAATATATTGATAGTAGTAAAAACTTGTATAGAGATTATAAAGAAGATTGGGAAAGTTAACAACTTCCGTACGCCAATTATGTGATGTTTAATCGTATTCAATGGCGAATATAACATTTCATTTTATATACCCAAAAAAGATCAGTGCGATTTTTGCTTTTCCTATACAAATGCAGATGATGAAGGCAAACAAAAATTGATGGACAAGTACAATCTAGACATGAAAGAAAAGAAGCTGTCGCGTCTAGAGAAGGAAGCTGATAAAAAAATTACAAATGGTTCAATCGTCGCAGTTTATGACCTAAAGGCAGTAATACCGGTACCCAGAGGGCAGATCTCCTCCTTCTATTGTAAGACTAAACTGAATTGTTACAATTTTACTATAAGCGATTTATATGCAAAAAACGTCAATTGGTACTTTTGGAATGAGACTGAAGGAAAACGTGGAGCGATTGAAATTGGAAGCTGCGTACTTTTTTACCTCAAACAGCTTGTTGAGAAAAGTAAGACTGCTCAACTTTTGGATGTAATATTATATTCAGACAATTGTTGTGGTCCGCAGAAGAATAATTATTTAGTCACCGCCTCCTCATACGCGGTAAACAAACTGCCAATCCGCAGTATCATCCATAAATATTTAATAAAGGGGCATTCTCAAAATGAGCGGGATAATGTACATAGTATTATTGAGAAGCAAATTATGAAATATCTCAAATCAGGACCGATTTACGTGCCTGATGAGTATGAAACACTAATTGGAACAGCGAAAACAAAGTGGTTCCCCTTACAGAGTTCACCAGCTTACCTTTGAAAATTTCTACGATTTAAAAGCGTTACATGAACAGTGGCGAAAAAACTTTACGACAGATACTGAAAAAGGAAAAGTTAGCTGCAATGACATTAAAATACTTGAAGTGTATAAGGAATACTCGGATTCATTCTTCTATAAAACGTCCTATGAACAGGAGGACTTCAGAAAAGTGGATATGAATAATGTGAAAAACACTACATTCCAAGAACATAATACAGACTCGGTTAGCTTAGTTCAAGCTTATTCTCATAAGGTTCCATTGAGTGACTTAAAAAACAGCACTTACAGGAACTAGCTGATAAGGGAACAATTAAAAAAAATATTACTCTCTGTTTATAAAAATGTACTTAGGATTTAATTCAGTTCAAACCTTGTGAAGGAGTTTTTTAGTTATGAAGACTGAAAATTATTTTAATTTAAATGCAAGCCTCTTATTGTTCCTTATTATGAGTTTCTGTATGTTGTGTTTTTCTCCCTTGTATAAAAATAGGAGTACCTGTTCAGTATTTAGGACCAAATCAATGTGTTTTTGATGTTTTATGTTAGAAAATAAAAATATTTCTATAATATAATGCTATCGATTTATTTTCAGGTAAAAACTATGAATAAATCTTATACTTCTTTTCTTATTATTTTTAATAATATCGAACAACAAAAGTGTTACAAGTCTTTTGTTCATTTTCAGTTCCCATCAAAACTGTCGGTTTTGGATATAATTCCAGGATTTTTGTTCAAATCAATCATCAAAAGTGATATAACTTGAAAAAGGCTTTTCATTAAAGCATACCAGCCTTGAATAGAGAATATAGTATCGCATAAGTACGAGTATTTTTATGACTTATGCTATTTATCCGAACGAATGTATATTTATAAAAAATATTTAGAGTGTAGAAAACAGTTTTCTTCGGTTTACCAAAACTTGGTTTTTAGAGTTGTGTCACTTTTGTAGGAACGACTGACGGTACGCGTACACCAAAACCGATTTATCGGCCCGGAGCTGTTCGAACGACTGTCTCGGACAAGTTCCTCGAATATTTTTGAAAGTGCCATTATAGATTTCAGTATATTGGTCTCTTAAGTTGCTCCATTTTTTTACTCTTGCAAAGGCTATATCCATTTAAAATTCAACTTCTGCCCATAGACGTTTTCCAATATTTCGATTAATGTAACTTTTGAGTTTTTGTCCCGCAGGGCTATTATAAACAGAACCAATCAATTTTTCAATATCCATACTTAAGACGCTCATTCATCTGTTGTAATTAACGGCGCACTGCCGAGAAAGCCCAACAAGTTCGGACGTTGCTGTTTTTCGGCCGTTGACGGTTGTAGTGGTGTACGCGCTCACGTTATTTAACATAAGTTTGATTTTATCGGCCGATAATGGCCAAGCACAGTTCGGCCGATAATGGATTATGTGTACGCGAGCCGTAGAGCGTTTTCAGATTATCCGATCCGATGTCGGTGTCAGACGACGATAGCAGACACATGTGCGATTTTCACATATTTCCGACATAAATCGTTAGGATTCGGCGATTTGCTCAATAGCTTCATGCGGGCAGATCATCATGGCAGATTATAATAGAAAACGTTATTTACTATATCTATTATATTTGAGACGCAAAAAAGATCGGTCTAAAGACAGAATTGGATACATGATGCATCCCTTGTGGAAGCTAGATATTCAGAGGAAGCATTTTAGCAAGCTACAAAACGCACCTAGAAAGTTTTTTAATTACTTTCGGATGAGTGAATTTACATTCGATTATTTGCTAATTCATCTCACAAATAGTATCAAGAAACAAGACACGCATTTTCGAAAGGCTGTAGGACCTAAAGCCTAAAGAAATGCTGGCTATGACATTAAGTTTACTATTTTATATTAAACATGCTTATTTGTATATCTTTAGTTTCTATCATTATCGTTTGTTGGCTGGTACTCACCACTGTACATGTATGGTGGGCAGCAAATCAAGCGGATATAATAGTTGTAAAATAACCCATAAGACAACGAGGCGCTGTATCTAGCTTGATACACTGGCCATCATACATATATTTAGCTATAATAAAAGAAAGTTACAACGTATTATGATCAAAATGGAATTAAGATAAAGATATTAAGCATAGGACAAGGTAAACTTACAGATTCGAATATGTATCGAAAAATTGATGAAAGTTATTACCGGATTCTGTAACCGATTCACAAGCGTTGCTTATGTTTATTGAATTTCAACTGTTTGGGGAGTGGGCACATCAATGTAGGAGTTGCTTGGAGTCGTTGTTTGTTGGATTAAAACTGATTGTGGACTTGGTACATCACCAAAGGTTCTCCCTGCAGACATTCGTCAGAAAATGTCTGACAAAAAAGCTGCAATTAAGCAAGCGAAGAGGTCTTGTCACCCAGATGGCATTCGCAGAGCGACGAATATTGTTCATGAAGTGAGAAATGCTCTTCATGAATACCGTAATGAGCAATGGAGCGACTTTCTGTCGGGGATGCTTGACTTAAGTATTCCTCTCTGGAAAGTTGCAAAGTCGCTCAGAAACGGAAAGCGAGAACAACTCCCGCATACCCACGGTCCTAGGGGCATAGTCTGTAGGACAGAGGAAAGGGTCGAGGTTTTCGCTGATGCAATTGAAATTCACTTCTCTCAGTGTTCAGCACATTTGTTTACAAACATTTTGTGTGAAACTCCAGCATTGAATGTGCCCACTGGTATCGAATTTTTTTTCTGTGTCCACCGGCAAAGCAGTGCATAACTTTTGTAAGCGTACAGTGTAGCACACTTGTGCACGAACATGTTTACCAAGCAAAGTTCTCACTAACTTCAGTTCTTAATATGGATGGGCGGGAATGTGTAGTGGTTTGTGCCGCAGCTTGTGTTTTAATAGGTAGTCTGCTTAAAAAGAAACGAAGAAGAAAACGACGATGTTGAGTGAGACCTTTTCTGCAGCGATGGAATGAAGAAACGAATAGATTTGTAGAAGAAATAAAAGTAGATCCCTTAAGTCGATTTAAAAATTTTACTCGTATATCGTGTAAAGATTTTGAGTTGCTGGTCAGTGCACTTGGTCCTCATATTGCAAAGCAAGACACCAACTACAGAAAATGTGTCCCTGTTTCAATAAGGCTTATTTATAGCTTTTATTGCCCAACAAATAATATTCCATTTATAGGCCAAAATCTTAAATTAGAAATATTACAAAAGCCTAACTTATAAAACTATCTAAGGCGCTCCCGCAGAACACATTTTAACTCCGAAATAGAACATAAAAATATGTCACAAAACTTACAAATACTATTATAGTTCAAACACATAACCCTTTCAGGTGATTTCAAAAACAAATTTGTGTCAGCACGACTGCAAAAGAAAGTAACATTACATCTTGAAACAATATAAAATAACAAATAATATATCTGAAAACCCAGAACCTGAAGATTTTGAATCCGCTATTTTCTTCTTTTCTCTTCGGTACTGAGTCAAAATAATTTTCCATTTTTTCATTACCTCAGTCGAGTCACAATTGAAACTTTGAGCCAACTCTTGAGTGGCGTCGTGTTTTTATAATCATGGTGACTGGAATCCCATAGAAGATAATAAGTTTCAATTGCTTGAATAAATTTTATAATCCCATCATTCGTCCAGTCCATTTTAAATTTCGTAAAAGAAGTGCGCGTACAAACAAATGTTTTCAGTCCAGGAGCGGAAGCAATACTGAGTTCGCGAACAACAAGTATGTACCCGAACACGCGAGTCCACTGCTTGCGCACGCACAAAAGTAACTGATGTTCGCGAACGTTTCCGAAATGTTCGCGCACCATTTGCTATTGTTTGCGTGAGTGAGTCGACCAGAAGAAACATTTGAGCTGTACACTGTGCATTAGAGTGCCGCACAGTTCAGCACACTGGTGGAATCGCATCTTAACAGATTCTCCTACCGCTTTTCTTTGTATCAGCTTCAATGATTTTTTACCGGCTAGACGAACATTTTTTGTGATAAAAAAAAGTCGCTGTATATGTATATATTTTTACCGTTACAGATTGAACACATCACGATTCTTGAGCTGTACCGATAATGTGATTTAACCTTTTAAAATGTTTTGTAATTGTAATGACCTTATTTATTTATAATTATAAGTATTTTTCTGGCATATTTGCTCAAACGCATATACGACCTTCAAATTGATATTGACAAGTCTTATATCATGTAACATGATCTAATAGGACAATAAACTATCTATCTATCTATCCCAACTATGACCTTGATAATGACCTCGACAAGGAGCAACGTATTGTAAGATCCGTCAGGAGATATTTTAGGGCGCACGGCGTCAGTGGCAGTGTAGAGCCTCCCTTAGTGATTTTTCCTCAGAGGAATGTTCATAAGATTCCTCAACTGAAGATCTGCATGGCACATCAGCGGAATCTCCTGAGACTCCGCATTGCACACCAGCAGAGCTTCAATGTCATATTAAAGACCTCAAGGTGCGTAAAGCGAGAATATCCAATCACTAATAAGGCGCTGAAGCTACTTTCGAGAAGTCCTTATCTCGTGGCAATAATCAATGCCATGCTAAGGACCCAGCACTTCCAGCGGCGTGGAAGACCGCGGATGTCATAATGGTTCCAAATAAGGTGGATTCGATATTCCCCAGGATTACCGGCCCATTAATCTACTGTCGGCTCCTTCTAAGCTCGCTGAAAAGGTGATTCTACGTCACCTTGAAAATTTGTCGTCAGACCACAATGTGATTCCTGACGTACAATTTGGCTTTCGGTCTGAGCATAGTACGGAGCTACATACCATTAGGCTTGTTGAACGAGTAACCAGGGGTTCACCCGTAACGAAAGTACTGGCATCTTGCTTCTGGATGGCTCAAAGGCATTTGACAAGGTGTGGCAAAAAGACCTTCACTACAAATTGATTCATAAGGGCTTCCCCTTCTTTCTCCTAAAACTTTTGAAATCCTTCCTCGAGGGTAGGAAATTTCGGATCAAAATTAATAATGTTCTGTCGAAAACACGGCCCATCAAAGCCGGTGCCCTCAGGGTTCGGTTCTTGGGCCGGTATTCACTTTTTATTCATGACGTCCCTCGCCCCAGTAACTGTGAAATCTATCTCTATGCTGATGATACTGCCGTGGTGGACCAGTTGTGTTCTGGGGATCTAGTTCACGACAGGCTGTAAAGTGCAGTAAACGAGGTATTGGAATGGGCGAATCGGTGGCTGATGAAAATTAATAAAAGTATCTCGGTGTCACTCTTAACAAGGGGATCACCTGACAGAAGCACACTGAAGCGTTAAAAACTAATTTCCAAATCTCGTTTGGGCAACTCTAGCCTATGCTATGTAGAACATCAAAATTAAGTTTGATCAACAAAGTTCGGCTATACAAGATGGTTATTAGACCGGCGATCAGTTACGCAAGTGCGGCTTGGTGTTTTCTCGCCAAAACGCATTTACGTAGCCTGCAGGTTTTGCAGAACAGAACCTTGCGTACAATCACTAACGCCCCATGGTATGTTTTCAACCAGACCCTTCACAGAGACCTTGACATCCCTTACCTAAAGGACTAAATCAAAAAACAAGCGCAGGTACGCTATAGTCAAGCGGAATCACATAGCAACCCTTTGTTGCGCGAGTCAGTAGACTACACAGTCGAGCAAGTTCGCAAACACACTAGGCCGCGACTCGCACTGTGAACAAAATTAAATCGTGCAACTTTAAGTCCAACCAAAATTATAATTTTTCTTCAACAACCAATCTCAAAATTAATTTTAGGATCAATTTAAAATTGCCGAATACTAATTTTAGCTATGCCAAGGCACCCCTCAAATTGACGCACTTCTTTTTTCTTTGCTCTCCCTCCTTCCTTCCTTCTTCCCTTCTTTCTCCCTGACTTTCATTGGTATCTGAGCAACCAGACCTGACAGACATACTGACTTACAAGACTTTAACCAAGAGCAAAGGTCCTACGGACCGCTCTGACAGACAATGACGAAAAGATCACCAACGGAGTTGTAGGTGAAGGAGAGGTCAGTAATATAGGGGAGGGAGAGTTTATTGAATTGCTATGAATCGAATGGCCATGTTTTTCTTTAATTTTTTTTGTATATGTATACTGGATAATGTTCATTTGTAGCTGTATTTTCTCTGGCTCTGACATATCTTTAACAAATGGTGTAAAAGACGTAAAGAAACTGTCATCTGTCGATAATCTTTCAGAGTTGTCAAATTTATTTTGTTTTATTTCTTTTAATGTTGCGTCCTCAATGGGATCTATTTTCCTTCTATTTTTTGATGACTCCTTCTTTGGTTCATGTACAGTAAAACTGTCAGAATGTTCATTATCATGAGCAGCGATCACTTCATGCTCCTGTTCTGTTTCTTAAACAATATTGGCTTCAGTTTCAGCTTTTTTGCAAATTTCAGTAAAAAAATTAGGTTTTCATGAAAAACATATGGTTTTTTGCGGCTTGCCCTGATTTTACATTAAGAGATTTAATGAATGCGTCTCTTATATTATTCCATTTGTTTATAATGGGTTGTGCTGAAATAAAAATAAGCTTATTAATACAAATATACTAAGGTATCAATATATAGTTTAAGTGCGCTAAAACCAAGTTTTTGTAACCACAATTTTTAAAAGAGCATTAATAAACTCGATAACAATTTCTTTTTCTACTTTTCTGGTACCTGGCCAGTGGTTGCTCTCTGACCGATCCGGATTACAATTACAGGCTAGGAATCAATACACTGAGTGAAATTATAAATTTTGTTTGCCAAAAAATATGGGAAAACTTCCATCGTGAACATTTAGAAAACATGTCTGAACAAAAGTGGAAAACCGTAGCAGAGGGTTTTAAAAAAAGGACATCTTTTCTCAATTGCCTCGGTGCTATAGACGGGAAGCACAAGGAGGACTTACAGTTCCCTGCGTATTTGTCACTGATGATGCATTTCCAATGAATGTACATATGTGACGAAGCTATTCTGGACATCATTTAAGTCAAAAACAACGCGCATTTAACTACAGACTTTGCAGAGAATGTCGGTATGTTGAGTGCGCATTTGGTATTATAAGTAATAAATAGAGAATATTCCATCGGCCCATCGATGTGTCCCCAAAATTTGCCAAAAACATAGTCAAAGCCAGTGTTATTTTACATAACATCGTGAGGAAGCGTGATGGATATCGAATAGACGACATAATTTTAAGTGAAAGATCATGTCTAGAAACTTTGTCAATTACCCCAGACAAAATCCACTAATAAATCAGGACGTGGAGTCCGTGCAACGTTCGCTAATTATTTCGTTTCAGATGTAGGCAAATTACCATGGCAACTTTCCAAGATCTAGGTCAAAAAAACTTATTACAATAAACGTGTAGTTCTGTTTTTAGATTTATTGAAAGTATAATTTGCATATCAGTATTTTTTTCTCATCCTGCTTTAAAACTTCTTATCACTCTTCAAGGTATTCACATATTTCTCGCCAACTATTGTCTAGGAGTAGTTTATTTTTATACTCTTCGTGAGTTGTATCCCACAAGCATGGTTTTGATTCTACCAGTTCAATTAATGTAATTATGTCTTATTTAAATGATGACGACGCCATGTTGTAACCAAACAAGTAAACGAAACAATACCGTCCGATATAGCTCACGGGCATCCGATGGTGCCGTCACCACATCGATATCGGGCCGTACAATATGAAAGACAGATACATATTTCATACATTTTACTTCCTCCCATAACGGATCGGCGCCCGACTCCGATATCGTATAACTTTTTATAGTCCGATATTGGGACTGAACTGTTTGGACGACTGTCTCGGACGTTCGCCTGCATACACTACCGCCGTCATCGGACGTTGCCCGTCGACCGTCATTGTTGAATACAGATTAACAGGAGTAAAGACGTGTTTTAAAATAGAGTTTAACCACCTTTTTGAGGGTTTAAAATTACAACCCATCAAGTTCTTCGAATATTTTAGAATATGTTATAATGCAATTCAGAATATTGGTCTCTTAAGTTGCACCATTTTTGTACTCCTGCAATCTCTATATCGATTCCAATTCAACTTCAGCCCATAGCCGTTTCACAACATCTCGATCCTTGAAACACAGCGGCCTATTATAAACACAATCAATTAATTTTTCAATATCCATAAACAAGACTCTCATTCATCTGTTGTAATTGGCGAAGCACTGCCGAGAAATCCCAACAAGTTCGAATGTTGCTGTTTATCGGCGGCAACGGCCGATGACGGTTGTAGTGGTTGGTGTACGCGCTCTCGTTATTTAACATAGGTTTGATTTTATCGGCCGATAACGGCCAAGCACAGTTCGGCCGATAACGGATTTTGTGTACGCGAGCCGTAAGGCCTCGCAATCACAAGAGCCGCAAGCATAAACTGTACCTGTACAGGTTTCCTACCTTAAAGTTTGAGGCGCCAGTGGTCAGTCCCAAGTTATCTTTATTTTGCAAGAGAAAAACAAAATTTGCACTCTCCAGAGAGCACAAAGATCAGAGTACAACTCTTTCTTCATGTGCTTGCAGATCACAAGCATGTGATTTAGGCCAAATTATACCAAACACTGTTTAGATAAAAACTGAAAAGGGCACAATTAAAAGACTCTTATATTTATTAAGCAAACAACACCAACAATTCAACTAGCTTTACATCCATCTAGATTTGGGGGAGAGTTTGGTGACAGAGGCACAATATCTTTTGGTTTCACATTATCAACGATCTCTTTCCAAACTGTCGTTTCAAATTCCAGCAGCTTTTTTGGCTTCTTGTATGAGATCACCAAGGTATTGAATTTGTGGGTAAATGAGACATTTTCTGCAAAAAGTTCAAAAAGAAAACCGTTACACAACATCAAATTTTCCTGACAGCAATGACTGGATTTTGTATTCTGTAAATCTGAAGCTTGTGACTCTGAATGACTACATTGTCTGGCCGAATCAGACCACATGAATGTTCAATACGTTTGTTGTATGACATTTCGACCACTATTGTGGCCTTTTTCATGAATAATTGACAATTCTATATATATATATATATATACAGGGTGTCCGCAAAGTTGGGGTTTTCCTTTACACGACGTGTAGATCTTGAAAACATAAGCAATTTTTCTTAGTACCATATACACCAATGTCTTAAGGGAACCGAGATAAAGGGCTCTGCAACATCAAAAATATCTGAATACCGTCCTGTAGCCGCGACCCGCGATATCTTAGACTGGTACCGGCTACTAGCTGAACCCGACTACAGAACTGGGTCGGGGGTCGGGGTCAGTGTGTCAGGTCAGTATGCAACCTTCAACCGACGGTAAGGGTCACGCGTATAGGGGTATCGAACCCGTATAATCGATTGCGTTTCAAAAAAAAATAATAATAATGGCACACTCATACACCAATAATGAACTCGATGATATGTTGTTAATTTATGGCGAATGTCTTCAAAATGATACAGAATCGTCGCGAGTGTATGCAGATCGGTTCCCTAGACGACATCATCCAAGGCCCCGCAGATTTGTGTACCTGGTCCAGAGAGCCAGAGATACGGGCCATTTGGAGGAATTTCGAGGTGGGCACAGTGGGAGGCCTAGACAACCACGAATGGTGCAAGTTGAGGAAGAACTACTGAATCGCGCAGACGAGAATCCCTCAACAAGCACTAGAGACGTGGCTAGAGACGTGCAAGTATCAAAAACTAAAGTGTGGCAAACGTCCAACGTGTACAAGCCCTTCAACCTGACGATTTTTCAGCAAGAGTGCGGTTTTGTGAGTGGTTGTTGCATCAACATGACAATAATCCGGACTTTTTGAAGTGCATATTGGTGACAGACGAATCTACGTTTACGCGTAATGGGGTGAATAACTTTCGATTTCAGGCAGAGACGTACTTAGCCCTTCTCGTCAATTGGAGAGTGAGTACTTTTTCCTTTATTTTTTTTACTTGGTCGCCCTGGTTTCACTACACATTACCTTTGTTATTTCAAGGGTAGTTGTTTCTGAAAAGGAAAACCCCAACTTTTCGGACACCCTGTATATATATATATATATATATATATATAGCCCCACGATACCCCACGGGTGTTTATTCCTCAGGCCATTGTGGTAGCTGGAGTATACAAAAATCTGAGACAATAGGAGCATTCAGCCAACATGAAGTCGTACAGCGGTGCAGCGATTTTATGCTAGATAACTGAAGCCATAGAACTACTTTCATCAGTTTGACAGCAGTTTTTACTTGGCTGTCAGATTTGATAGTATGTTGATTGATATTGCGAACTGTCAGAGCTATTCCAAGACTACTGTTATTCAGCATAGAAGTTCTATCTTAGTTGATTGGCCAATCCAGCTAAAAATGGCGTTCAGATGCTGAATGTTCGGATTTGAAGAATACGAAACTTTTTATAATGGATCACTTCTGTCAGTTAGATCAGTTTAAAAGAATGCAGCTGCTGTTACACATGGACATTACAACTTTATATAGATGTAATTTTCATTACTACAGAGTAGTAAAAACTACACTTTGGTGCCATATATACGGTACAAGCAAAATTTTAGTCAAATTCGGACCGCCATTACTTTTTTATTTTTCACCCGATGTTATTGATTGGGCAGTAGATACAACAATTAGCTTTAATTTACATATCTGATTTCCTGAAGGTAGCCATGGTTCAATTTGTAAACGGTACATCTGAATGTTATTTCATTATCTCAACTTTAAATCACTCTGTGGTGTGATTCCAGATGCCAATCAGACTGCAATGCTAACCATGATCGTGTTTTATTACACCAATAGAACATATAGTAAATGTGCCCTGTATAAAAACCAGAATATTTCTATGCAATCTGGTTTTTCACTTGGAATTTTTATTATGTATACTGAGCGACAAATAGTGCGAAGATGCAAAATTAAATAACAGGAACGATTTTTGAATAATGAGGTTTCTAATTATGTATGTAAAAAGGAGTTCGTCTTTATAGAGAAACACATTATATTCTGTGGACAAAAACGCATACAAAAAGCTGAGAAAAAAGAATAAGAGAGAAGAATGAAGTGATTAAAGATATCCTCACCGAACTTGAAGAAAAAATAAATATATTGAAATTCTCTGTCTCTGAAAATGACTCAACATATATTGAAAAAGAAGTTGACCAGTACCTAGTAATGATTAATTCCCTTAAAGATATAATAGACGTAGGAATAAGCAAATGGATTAAAATTTGATGGCAATGCGGATGACTCAGATGTTGTTTCTCGGGCTTCCATTGTCTATAAGTTTTTTGTTTCCGTTCCGGTTGATGTGATCTTCAATCGTCATCGGGTGACCTGGCGAACATGCTCCTTTCTTGACTATTTATACAGTTTGATGACGTGGCTGGTGGTTGGTTGAGTTCTAGTTGTTTGATGTTTTTTATAATTGGTTGCCATGCTGATTTTATTTGAACACTTGGATTACTGTGCCCATTTTCATTCATTATTATGAAGGCTGCTTCCTTGAATTTACTCCGATGCCAGAGTGTTTCTTTGTGTAAGATCTTACTTTGGGATCATGCTATCAACTAGAAACTTCAACAGTAAAATTGTTAGGTGTTCATATTGACAATAACCCTAACTTCGCGAGTTCATGCTGACTATGTTGGATTATAAAGGATCAGTATCTCATAAAAACTTAATTACAAGTTAACATTCATACTTTCATTCGAGAATGACATAGGGTTTTAATATGGGGGCACTTCCCCATATATAGAGAATTGTTGCTGTGCAAAGGCGGTGCATTCGCTACTTATCTGGCCTAAGGTACAGAGATCCGTGTAAATACGAATTCATCAAATTAAACATTCCAACTCTACCATGTACCTATACATAAGTTATACACCAAAAATAATTTTACTGCTCACACCTCCCATAGTTAAATAAATATCTACGACACTCGAAACAAAATTAATATAAGGCAACAATTTTATGGCTTCTAAGGCACAGTACTGTATTTTAGCTAACTAACTAACTGCTGTTAAAATCAATGAAATAAAATTAGGAATAAAAAAAGTTATTATGTTCCAAATTTGATCAAAATTTTGCTCACTGCATTTATTTTGTATCTGATTGTATAATTATACCTAGGACAAGTTAACGTTAGAAGAAAACTTATTTTGAGAGAGCATGTGAACAAACCTTGTTCTAATGTGATATTCAGCCTATTCAAATCTGAAACTGGCAGTCTTTTGTAATACTTTTTATTTGTAGTTCTGACAACTAGGCATCCACTATCATTACTTTCATTATCTACTGTCACTGAGTAAGTGTTCAATGGATAGGGCAGGTTCCTTATTCGCCACTCCAAGTTCAATTTTGTGATTCTTCTGCTTACAAATGGCTGGTTTGAACTTTCTCTGATCATCTCCTCATCTTTTTTTTCAAAGGTAGGTTCAGGATCGCCAATCTCTATGTCCCATTCACCTTGCAATCAGAAAAAAATAGGTACCAATTTTTGGAATGATGAGCGCCAACCAAGATTACCCACTTGTAGCAGAATAATATAATAATAATAATAATTTATTCGTACTATTACACAAAAATGTGTTTGCACAGGTCATTTAAAGTAGAACATAAAAGAGTAAGTAAAAGTAACAAACAATACGAAAATAAGACAAACGTAAAACACAAAGTGGCAATAAAAGGTAAAAAAAACTTGATAAAACTATTTTAAAATTTAGATGAACAATAAAATAAGATGGTTAAAAAATTATGAAATAGTATTCGTTTTTTCATGTTTGTACTCAAAAGTCCTTACACACGTCTGGAGAACGATAAAATATAATACAAAAATAACACATAAAAAAATACAAACGAAAACAAAGTAATAAATAGTCAACAATTATGGAACAAAGTCGGTAAAATCATTATTTAAAAACTCATCTATGCTGTAAAAAGCTTTCGTCACTAGATATCTTTTCACAGTTGCTTTAAAAATGGATGAGTTGAGTGTTTGACAAAACTTGGGCAGCGCATTAAAAAATTTCACACCGAAATAATTACTTCCGTGTCTAGTTTTTGATAATCTTGTGTACTCTGGTATTAATTCATTGTTGAACCTTGTGTTATATTTGTGAATCTCTTTCGGAGTTCTGTAATCATCGTAATTATATTACCCGTCTCTTCCTCTAGATCACTATGTAGTTCACTCTCGCCGCTAGGTGGCGCCACGCATTCCAAAGCTAAATAAAATAACATCTGACCGGTCCTACCCTCGCGTACCACCGAACGCCGTTGATGATTCATTACTCTTTTGCGTGCGAGTGGAGCCACGTCGCCCGTAACGTGACCGGTTCGGAAAATGAGTAGAAATGTGCGAAAACGGGCTCAGGCCCTGTCTGATGCAGATTCGGATTCGTCTGATGAGCTGTCCGGAATCATGACCCAGTTGAACAAGCTGTCTCGTAAGGTATCCCGACTTCAGAAGAAGCGCAAAAGACGAGAGCCGTCACCCGAAAGCTCGGATAGTAGTGTTGGTGAAAGAAGCCTCTCCCAAATCATTCGGCCTGCTACCGTAGGCCTGGTAAACTACGATACCTCTTCATCGGGACGTAAGTATCCTATGGATGCATAATATAATTGTGTATAAAACAAAAACAATATGGCTACCAACGAGTTTTGGTTACACACGTCTGTCTAAGCAAGGGTACCCTTGTTATACCCAAATTGGGTATTACCGACGAGTTTCGGTATAATCCTGTGGTCAACGAGTTTTGACAAACACACGATTATTTTATTACATTGCCAACGAGTTTTGGAAATGTAGGGCATCACAATTCTCCTATCTTGTCAACGAGTTTTGACAAATTCAAGTTTGTTTTTTTTTACAATGCCAACGAGTTTTGGCCACATGTAAGGTAGTTTATGATGTCGTCAACGAGTTTTGATAAGCGCAAGACCAACGAGTTTTAGCAAATAAATACAAGGCGTCGCCTTTATTTTCATATATTGTCAACGAGTCTTGGCGATTTCTAAAGGCAGGTACAGTTGTATCATAATTTCTTCTAGTGATGTAAAATAATTAAGTAACGCTTACAAAATAATCGTTACAAATGAGTAACTAAATGTAACGAGTCCAACTTTTTGAAAAGACTCGTTACTTTTTATTTGAATTCGTTACTTTGAATGCGGTACGGTCTTTTTCTATGTATACTTTTTAATTACTATTAGTTACTACACTATACATTACTTTAGATACAAACGTTACTGGGATCTAATGTAGCCAGTAGGCCAGTACTGCCAGCGCCAGCAGCAACTGACTTGGTTCTTGGATGTAAACTGGGTGGAAATGAAATGATGCGAATATCGTTAGGCTTAGGCAACTTTAGATACTCTTCTATCAAACGAGTTGCGGACTGCGGAGCTTTAGGTTAGCAATGTTTGTGTACACCTGTATACTTTTCATTTGACTTTGAAAGCTACCGGTTGGCGGGTTGTTACTGGTTTGGACGTTGCCGTACAAGCTCGAGCAATAATATAATTATTATTTGTACAAAAATATGGAATCATCCGCGTCCGGTTCAGGAGAATCGCAAACTCAAAAAAGAAGTGTTATTTGGATGCATTTCACCAATATATCGGAAGCTAATGCAAAGTCTAATCTTTGTAAAAATATTTATTCGCATAAAAATGGAAACATTAGCAATTTAAGGAAGCATTTGAAAACTAAACATCCGACTCTTTCATTGGAAGGAGAAAGGGCAATACCGCGGGTGGAAGACGAAAATATGCCTAGGTGCAAAAGTAACTTAGTTTCAGGTATGTTTTATTATTATAAGTATTTTGTTGAACACCATTTACAGTGGAGTAACCAGACTGTTAAGTAGGGCAGGGGACGCTACTCAACTAAAGTAAAGAGTGAGGAGAGTGGTTCCTCCACGGTCCCCATCTGGTTATGCCACTTGTTAAATACTATTTACAGCGTACAGCCAACGAAGCAGACGTCACACAACGACGAGTTTAAAATATAAGTACCTTCTACGTATCAAATATCAAAAAAATTAATAGGCAAGGCATTAGACAAAAAATAATAATTGGATCTAAACTAACGAGTCCAAAGTTCGAAAGTAACGAGTCCTTACAAGTCCTAAAAAGTAACGAAAGTTTGCATCACCAATTTCTTCCAATTTTGCAGCAGAGAATAACCTTGCCGAGCGCAATGTTGCCATATCAGACGGAACCTTGGAGAGGAACAATGTTGCCGAGTGCGACGTTGCCGAACGCAGTGTTGCCGAGTGCGATGTTGCCGAACGCAGTGTTGCTGAATGCAGTGTTGCCGAACGCAGTGTTGCCATCTCGGATGAAATTTTGAAACTTTTGGGGAAAAACTCTGTGGACGATCAAGCCTCTACAAAAGACATTAACAGCGAACTTGTTCAAATTTGGTCCCATATATTACAGGAAGGTTTGGATTCTGAGGTTTTAGCAACTATATGTAAAAAATATTCTCCTCCCACTAACTTAAGCCTTGCTAATGCCCCCAAACTGAACTCAGAGGTTTTATCGGTTCTCACGGAACAACACAAGCAGCGGGACTTGAAGCTCTCTAATCGCCAAGACCAGATGGGGGCTGCCCTGGTGGCAATTGGCAAAGCGCTGACAATTCTGTTGGAAAAAGGGGAGGGGGCACATACCAGAGTGCTGGTCGAATGCCTCAGTGATGCCGGACGTTTAATTTCGGACATTCACCATGAAGAATCTACGTTTAGGCGGAATTTGGTATCGGTGAGTGTAGACAAACAGCTCCGAGGAACCCTTTCTAACGTATCTGTGGATGGTTGGCTGTTTGGACAAAATCTGGGTGATCGGGTGAAAGCAGCTCGTGAAATGGAAAAATTGTCATCCAACCTGAAGCCTAAAGCAGTTACTGCTACACTGACGTCTTCGGTAAACTTCAAGGGTCTGCCTCGAGTGAATGTCAAGGGTTATCGAGGCAGACCGAAATACTCACGGAAAACCCCGTGTTTCGAAGCCAAGACTCCTTGAAAAGCCCCCCGATCAACGAAAGAAATTCGTCCAGCATACAGAACCAATCAAACCCAAGCCTATCAAAAGCGGACCCTTTAAAGGTAATTTATATAAGTGGAAGACTAAAATTCTTTTTACCAGCTTGGAATTCGTTAACGTCGGATAATCTTCTGTTATCATGGGTTGAAGGTTATCTAATACCTTTTTCTCAGACACCTGTTCAGAAATCTGTTCCTAAGGAATTGAAATGGTCTTCAACAGAACAGAGATTTTTAAATTTAGAAATCGAGCGTTTGTTATCCCTGGGCGCTATAAGAAAATGTTCTTTCGAGCACGGCCAATTTCTTTCAAATATTTTTCTCACACCCAAACAGGGTGGCTCGTTTAGATTGATTTTAAATCTAAAAGACCTGAACAAGTTTATTACGACAGAACATTTCAAAATGGAGGACCATAAAACGGTAACAAGATTATTGGACAAAAACATGTTTCTTGCATCCATAGATCTCAAAGATGCGTATCACTTGATTTCTATTCATAAACATCATCGGAAATATGTCAGGTTTGTGTTTTCCGGACAAATGTATGAATATACTTGTTTACCTTTCGGTCTAAATACAGCGCCGTATGTGTTTACGAAACTGTTGAAACCAGTTCTATCCCATTTACGACAACAAGGTTTTTTGTCAGTATTATATATTGATGATTTTCTATTAATGGGTCGTAGTTATGCTGAGTGTGTGACAAATGTTAACATAACTAAGAAAGTGTTGTTAGATTTAGGTTTTTGATTAATTTAGAGAAGAGTGTACTTGTGCCATGCACAGAAATTAGGTATTTGGGGTTTCTATATAATACAATAGATATGTCCTTAAGCCTACCTATAGACAAACAAAACAGTATTTCAGAACATATGCGCAGGTTCGTGAATAAAACAACCTTCCGTATCCGGGAGTTTGCGAAATTGATTGCAGCATGTCCGGCAATCAAGTATGGGTGGCTGTACACCAAGAATTGTGAACGCGAAAAATGTTTGGCCTTGAGAAGGTCCAGAGGGTCTTACAATCACAAGATGAGAATGTCTACATAGATTCTAATGGATCTTAGCTGGTGGAAAAGTCATCTTTCGGGCAAAAAAACTTTTCACAGTTTCAAATTCAAATTGGAAATATTCAGTGACAGTTCTCGATCGGGATGGGGGATACACTGTAATGGTTGTAAGTCGCACGGTTTTTGGTCCAACGAAGATAAGAAGCAACATATAAACTATTTAGAGTTATTGGCTGCATTCTTTGGACTTAAATGCTTTGCAGCAGATCTTGTAAATTGCGAAATACTTTTACGAATAGATAACACTACAGCCATTTCATATGTGAACAGAATGGGTGGTATTCAGTTCCCACATCTTAACAGCCTTGCTAAGCAAATTTGGCAGTGGTGTGAAGAGCGCAATTTAT